TCAACTTGGCTGTGTCGCTGCTGAGGGGACCGGCACTCGACTGGTGGCGCATGCATCTAGACGAGGGAGGAGCCCCGGTAGGAAATCAATGGGCGGTAGATGGGGAGCACGGTTCATCAACAGCTCAAGCAGAACCAATATTTGGGTCGACCACGATCCGCACATGGAAAGCGTGGGGCGAAGCATTGAAGAGCCAATTCGAGCACATATCCATGTGCGAAAATGCTCGCACAAGGCTTCGGATGTGGAGACAGTTGGGCTCTGTCCAAGAATACACGGCTTCGTTCTTGGTGCTATGCAATCAAATCGGAGGGCTTACCAAAGACGAGAAGATCGATCACTACGTGGGTGGTCTCAAGCCAGGATTCAGCAAGAGATCGTCCTGCGAGCCCCGACAACTTTTTACGAATTTGTCCGAATCGCGGATGCACTGGACGCAAGGCGTGGACTCGCGAGGGCGGGTTTCCGGGAGGGAAATCGCTTTCGAGGCCAGCCCCAACACACATCAATCAACGGCGTGGACGTGTTTGCAGCCCGGGTATTTTCCGAATGCTGTTTCCACAGCAGCCAGCCGGGCCACATGGTGAGGGACTGCCCGCAGCTGAAGAAGAACTTAGCTAAGGACGGGGAGCAATCGGGAAATGGAGATTGTCAGTAGCAGATGGGCCACCTACTGACTTGACTGCGTCGCCCAAACGCCAACACCCCCATCGGGTTATAGTGCCGATTTGGGCTATCGACCATTCCTGGCTGAATAAGGGGGGTGAACCGGTTGATCGCCCTGTGCTGGTTGAAGGAAGAGTTGGCGACACCCGCATCAAATTATTTGTTGATGGTGGAACAAGCCACAGCTTGATGGATGTGACAAAAGCGAAGAAACTCCGCTTGCAGCTGGAATGATGCATGCCCGAAATCGATGCGAGGTTGGTTGACGGCACCCCATTGGCGATTTGGGAGCGCGTGCCTCACGTGCGAGTCACCTGTGGCGAAAACTTCAGTTTCACGACGAAGATGCTGGCGACAACTTTGGAATGGTACGACATGCTGCTGGGACACGATTGGCTGCGCAAATACAACCCGAGCATCGACCCGCGGACGGCCGATTGTCGCATAAAGTGGAGTGGCGAGTGGCGACGGCTATCCAAGTGGAGCAGTCAAGACTCGACAACATCGATGGTCAGCAGAGTGACTATAAAGCGCGCGATGATTCGAGGAGCGCAACGGTATGCCGTCCGATGGATCACATCAAAAGCTGTCGACACGCCGACCGACATCGACAAACTCTGCCGAACAGTCCCTGATGATTTGGCAACACTGATACGGAAGCACGCCGACATTTTTCCATACGACCTACCGACGGGCTTGCCACCTCAGCGGCCACATGACCACAAAATCGAGCTCGAACGTGGTGCGCAGCCTACTGTTCAGACCCAATGGCGGCTGACTCAACCCGAGTTAGAGGAATCTCGACGCCAGCTGGACTACCTGCTCGATAAAGGTTTCGTCCGCCCCAGCACATCACCATTTGCAGCTCTGATCCTGTTCACCCTGAAGAAAGATGGCGGTCTGCGTATGTGTATCGACTACCGCGCCTTGAATCAGGTTACCATCAAGTCTTGCTACCCAATCCCATGTGCCGACGACCTCATCGACCAACTTCACGGAGCCAGATTTTTCTCGAAGATTGACCTGCGCGGCGGTTACCACCAACTTCGCGTGCACGAACCTGATTGCTACAAGACGGCGTTTCGGACCCGGTACGGGAGTTACAAGTACACGGCCATGCCATTCGGCTTAACAAACACGCCTTTGACATTCCAGTTGACCATGCACGAGATTTTTCGGCCGCTACTGGATAAGTGCGTCATCGTGTACCTCGACGACATCCTCGTCTACAGCACAACCCGGGAGCAGCATTTAAAGGATTTGGAAGCAGTTTTCTCTCTCCTACAGCAGCACCGACTCATCACCAAGGGCTTTAAGTGCGAGTTTTTTAAACACGAACTGGAGTTCTTGGGTCACGTGATTTCCATCGACGGTGTTAAAGTCGACCCCAAGAAAATCGCGACAATCCAAGACTGGAAGCCGCAGGCTAATCTCCGCGAACTTCAGAGTTTTCTGGAGTTTGTTAATTACGTCCGCCGTTTCATTCCGAACATGGCGGGGGTAACTTCCCCTCTCACAGATCTCTTGAAGAAGGGCACGTTTTTTGAGTGGGAGGGAGAGCAGTAGGCTGCGTTCGAAAAGCTCAAACTTTTCCTGACTACACCGCCGGTTCTTCGGGTTGCAGATCCTCGCTGTCCATTCGAGCTCATCTTCGACGCTAGCAATCTGGCCGCTGGCGCAGTCCTGTTACAAGACTTCGGCGAAGGCCTACAACCGATCGCCTATGAGTCACGAAAGCTGAACCTGGCCGAGCGAAATTATCCTGTCCACGACAAGGAGTTACTCGTCATCGTTCACGCTTTCAAAGTCTGGTGCTACTACTTGGCGGGCGCTGACGTAACAGTCCGAACAGACCACAAGTCACTACAGTTCATCCGTGCCCAACCGACACTGAATCCCCGACAAATTCGCTGGCTCGACTACCTCGAGTCCAATTTCCACTACAGAGTCACCTAAAAACGAGGGGTCAGCAACATCACTGACACATTGACCCGCCCCTCGGTCCACACCGGTGCAGTCCTAATTACCCAAGCTAATCCGCTACTAACTGGCCTATTCACCCACGGATACAGTACTGACCCATTCTTCACCACTAACAGTCATCCCGAACTGACGGTCAAGGAAGGGGCCTATTACCTAAAATCGGGTTCCAATCGGATTTGGCTTCCCGCCTACCGTACCCTACGGGAATTACTGATCTAGGAGGCACATGACTCGAATTTCTTGGGTCACTATGGCATCGATAAAACCGCAAAATTACTGAGCCGTAATTATTATTGGCCCGACCTACCGACAGACGTGCAGCAGTACGTCACCTCCTGCGCCACGTGTCAACGCATGAAGTCTTCCCGACTTCGACCTACTGGATTGCTGCAGCCGCTCGAGCCACCCAGTTTACCCTGGCAACAAGTAACGATGGACTTCGTCACTGGCCTGCCAGCAGGTTCAAGCGGTAACGACGCGATCCTCGTCGTCGTTGACCGATTGACCAAAATGGCCCATTTCGCCGCCTGCAAGACGAAAATGACTGCAGAGCAGACATCAAAATTGTTCCTCACGAACATCGTACGGCTACATGGCATCCCATCGGCAATCATCAGCGATCGTGTCCCACGGTTCACATCCTACTTCTGGACAAAAACCTGGCAGCAGTACGGCTCATGTCTGCATCTGTCTACTGCGTACCACCCGCAATCGGACGGCCAAACTGAGCGCACCAACAAGACGATGGAGCAGCTGATTCGCACGACATGCACAGGCCCGGCCCAATGGGAAGTTGCCTTTCCCTTGATCGAGTTTGCGCACAACAATGCCCCATCGGCCACGACCACTCAGTCCCCGTTCTTCCTTAATTATGGGATAGATTCGACAACCCCTCTATCGCCACCGATAGAAAATCCGGCACCAAGGTCTCAGTAGTTCGTCTAAAATCTCCGACAGTCTCAGCGAAAAGCCGCCGATGCCATTCTAAAAGCCAATGACCGACGACGCCGAGACTTAACACTTGTCCCTGGGCAATCGGTCCTGCTCGACACCAGGAATTTGGGAATCCCCCTCCCGAATAAATTACAACCAAGATTTTGCGGGCCCTTCCTCATCATTCGCATGGTGACACCAGTCACCGCCCAGCTGCAACTGCCGACCGACTGGCGAATTCATGATTCGTTCCATGTCAGTCTCCTGCGACCGTTCGTCCTGAGTGCGACCAATCTCGACCATCAACACATTAATCCTACGGTCAACCCAGTACCCGAGCCAACGATCGAGCCGTCCAATATTCTCGCTCATCGCGTACCGGGATATCGAGATACAACAGCTGTCGATTTCCTTGAACGATGGGTCGATCGCACAAGTGATGATGACCTCTGGGTTCCTGCATCAACGATCCGTGAAAACAGAGTTGTCCGTGACTATTTACACCGATGACGTGTCCCGGATGCGGGTAGTCTCATCCCGGAAGGGGGGGGTGGTGTAAGGAAATTCCTTTTCCTTACTGGGCTCGACTACAGCGCGTACGCCATCGACTCTCGGAACTCCTGGCTCGGCCAACTCCGTCGGTCCCGAACCACTTCGCGAACCCAAACCTAGACGCACGGCGCTGCCGTAGCTTTCGCCAACCGGACTGCCCCAACCTGTTCGCGTGGTTCTTGGCTGGCTCTGTTCATTACTATAAATGCCTAGGCCCTCATTTGTATCGACACTCTTGAATCACGACTCCTTTATTACACTACGTGTTGTTACTCTGATTAATTCATAACAGAAACTGTCAGATGTTACGCACATTTCCGCAGTTACGAAATGCGCATGACGTGTTCAATTTCTCAATGTCTCAGGTAGATTTGTCGTTTTCGGTCTAGATTGGTTCATTTCGACAGTTTACAAAATCGCAAATTTCTCGCGATTTTGGAACGCTGCTTTCAGCAGAGAACTAAGTCCTCAATTTTTGCCGAAGTGGTCGTTTGCAGACCCAAGTGCCGAGATAACTCTCTTCCGCCCTTCTACCAAATTTTGTCTCTGCCGAGGGGGTTGCTTGCAGAAGAGAATGCCGAACTGTTTTTTTTGCGGAATTTCGGCAGAGAGCAACTCTGCGCGAATGGGTCCTTGCGTCAGGCTGAACTAGGTCCTGTTGGAGCGCATTTCCGAGATTCGGCTCTCCCGAAAGGATCGCCTGCAGAAGCGCATTCTGCGCGCTGCTTCGGCAAACGACAACTCCTCTGCGAATGGTCCCTCGTGCCAATTCGGCAGAGGGGTCTTGTACACTGTCGACTCTGCCGAGGTTGTCTTTACAAAAACCACCTGTCGTTGTAGAAGTCACATGCAGAAAAGCGCTCTTGTTCTGCTCCTTCGAGAGAACCGCTTTTCTGCCACTTCGACGGAAACGCTATTCTGCCAATTCAACGAGACTGCTCTTCTACCACTAGCATTTCCCACACAGGCTCGCCTTGTCGACAAGTCTGCTCTTCGTCGACAAGCCTTTCTGTAGGGCTCGTGTCCGCAGACTTCGTTGATATGCCGCTTCAGTAGACTTCTGCAGCCTTCGCAGGATCAGGGCTATTCTCAACAACCCGCTCATTCCGCCACCTCCGTCCGAGCCAAACCCCCCCTGCTGCCTACTCTGTCCGCTGCTCGTCCACCACTTCTAACGCCGGCGGCCCATGGGGGACAGAAGAAGGACCAGCCGCCTCCGGACCCGGAACCGACAAGCAGATCGCCGAACCTCCCCGCAGAACGCGGAAGGCCGAGCGAGCGGGCGCTGCATGTGGAAGGATCGACGCGCGCGAAGCAGAGCAGCGAGACGAGCGCGAGTGCGGGGACAAGGTGGGACACCGCGAGGCGAGGCACCATCGCGCGTGGCGGAGACTAACGGGTTCCTTGAAGCGGAAAGAAATCAGGCTTGAAGGCGCGGCGTGGATGGTGCTGGCCGTGAGGCAGACGAGCTGCGGGACGGCTGTGGTGGATGCGAGGGCGTGTTGCACGAGGAACGCGACGACGCCGCGACAGGCGGCGAGGCGATGTGGCCGAAGAAAAGATGGCCGAAGCAGCTGTGGGGAATGCCTCCAAGCATCGCGGTATTTCTACTTGCTCTGCCGCTGCGAGGAGGCTAAGCCGGCAGTAGCGCGTCTGGCGAAAAGGATTGACGCGCTGCGGGTGACTGCAGCGACGCTTTTGTTGTGCGGAGGGTATCTAGGATAAGGAGTCAACGCGAATCCAGTCAGCGTGCGAGAAAATGACCGATGAGGCGAGCCGTCCTCGTTGACTGACGGTTGGGCGAAGGACATCAAAGAAGATTGAAGCCGGGAGATGGCTGACTGCTTATGAAATGTTGGAAGGAAGATGCAAGGCTTATGCGTTACAAGGAATGCAAAAGGCGATGGTAAAAAATGCCAGCCTTCCTTACACCTTACCAAAAGCGCCCTAATTGAAAGCTCCTTGCTTATTTCATGCTAGGGATTCGACAACCACTAACCTTACGAATAAGCATGAGGAATGACAAGCATTTGGCAGATATCTCACGCAGAATAAACCATCCTTGTTATTCCCTTGTCTAGGTGCAGACTGCACACTGACAAGGGCCTGTCCAGGCTCTCAGCACTCTCACAAGGCAAAGCCTTGCCCTCGTGGCTGCCACCATCATCAGCGCCAGCGCTTGCAGGCAGCACCATCACCTGCCGCACGCTCTCGAACATGAGCAGCACGTGCACCTCCCGCCGCGCCTCACCCTCCCATGCCACCTCCACCACTCGCCTGCCTCCGCTCCTCTCCCCTTGCTGCTGCCCGCCTGCGCCGCGCTCCACACCAGCTTTCAGGCCCCCCTCACCACCCGCTCCCATTCCAAAAATCCTCCTTGCCCTTCTTACTTCCCCATCGCCCTCCTCCTTCCGCTCCCCTCCTGCACCTCCCCCTTCGCCCTCGTCCTCTTGCGATGAATCCATCTGAGGCAAATCCTCCACCCCCTCACCTTCGCCCCTCACCCCCTCGCCATCACCCCCACCCTGCTGCCCTCTAGTCCCCTCCGCATCCACCTCTGCCTCCCCTCCGCCATTCCTACCCACACCCCCCCCACTCTCGTCAAAAAGGCTGTCACCTGCCATGCCCTCCCCCCCTGCTGCCTCGCTACTCATCTTCACACTGCTGCTGCTGCTACCACTGCTGGCAGCACCACTGCCAACACTTTCCCTGGCCATTCTGCTGCCTGACCTGGCAGTGCCGCCAGCCAATCCAGTGCTGGCAGGCGTGACGCCCCCCTCGTAGCGGTGGGAGACACGCAGCATGGCACAGAGCACGGTGGAGCCCTCACCGCCGGGCCACAGCTGGATGGTGCGATGGCTGGGGGGCGGGGAGAGAGCAGGGGCGCAGGGATGCAGGGATGTCAAACAAGGACTTGCTGGTTGCCCGCGCACATGTGAGATGCACCGTGCAAGCTGCTGTCCAAGCCACTCACCCCCTCCCATTGTGTGCAGATTCACTGGGATGGTTGTGAAGCCGACAACCCGCTGTGCATCGGGCAATGGGAAGCGTCAAACACATGGAAGCCAAGCCACACAGCAATTTTGTCAACCACAAAGTGTGCACAAATCCATGGCTAAGGCATAAAAACGTACACACTTGCATGGTGCTGACCGTTGCATTGCACTTCCATACACGATGGGGCTGACCGCTGACCTCGCAAGGAGACGAGCACCTGGTATGGCCGGGCGCACCTGGGCATGCATTTGACGGAGGCATCGATGTGGGCCCCACAGGGCACAAGGGTGTCAATGTCGTCGGGCAGCACCTCCAGCACGCCGCCCGCCCTCACAAACACCGCCGCCTCCTCCAGTGGCACCGCCACGCGTACCTGCTGGCCCCCGCTGTACCGCCGCCCAGAGAACAGGTGCAGCCACGAGGGGGACGACGCTGGGAAGAACACCTGCGCGTTGCTTGGTGCAGGGAGTTGTGCAGTGTGAGCGGGCGTGGGGAAAGAGAGACGCGGAGGAGTGCACGCGCACGGAAAGAGTAAGAGGTCAAGAATAGAGAGGAAGAGGGGTCAGATGCACGACCATTCGAGCCTGCTGTGGCGCCTGCGTGGAAACAGACGGTGCCACGACGAGCACGATGCTGGGAAGAAGACATGTGGGCTGGGCAGTGCACTGCATGCATCTCGTTGCATTGCAAAGCGTTGAGCTGCAAATGACCAGGCCATGGTTTTGGGCTGTCTCAGTCAGAAGTTTGCTTGCAATAGAGAGGGAAGGTGAATGAATCGAGCAGAACAAAATGGGGTGGGTGGAGTGAGAGGGGCTGAGTGGTGTTGCCAGGTGATGTGTCTCGGACAAGGGTGAAGGACACCAGGAAAGGAGCACTAGACCCCGCACCTCCACGCTATCGCTCTCATTCACCACGGGCGCCACCAGCAGCTCGCGCCCCAGCAGGTACTGCCCCTCCCACCGCCCTGCCTCTGCCGCCCCCTCCCCCTGCGCGCACAGCGCCATGGGGCACATCACCGGCCGCCCCTGCCCCCCCGCCTCGCGCGCCGCGCGGTGCAGGTAGGGCGCGAGCGCCATGTGCAGGCGTGCGAAGCGGCGGTAGATGCGCAGCGTGAGAGCGTCGTAGTCCCACGGGCCGCTGTTGGCCTGCCCGAACTGGTGCATCAGCGGGGAGAGCGCGCTGGGGGAAGCGGGGGGAGGGGGGGGCAGTGGAGAGACATGGAGAGACATGGACTTGGTGGCCTGCCCGCCTGGTGCATCAGGGGGGACAGCACGCTGGGGGGGGGGGAAGAGAGAGGAGAGTCACAGCGTGGGGTGGGGGAGGTGTTGTGGAAGAAGAGGGGAGGGGGGATAGAAAAAAGCGAAGGAACCGGAATTGGGAGAAGAGGGGAGGGGGGATAGGAAAAAGCAAAGGAACCGGAATTGGGAGACTCTATGTGATGTGATGCATGGATGGACGTTGCTGTGGATGGACGTTGCTGTGGATGGACGTTGCTGTGACGACCAAAACTAATGGCCCGAAGCACGTAAGGGCTGCTCACTGAAGTCCGTGGAAAAGGGAAGTGATGCTGTGTGCATGTGAGTGCGCTCACACGCTGTGGTGAGGCAGTGGGGGCAGTGGGGAGGAGGGCACCGGCGTTGGGTGGTTGTACGAAGGCGGGGCGGCTCACCCGAACTGCGTCCAGCGGATGAAGACGTTGCGCGCGATGGTCTTCCCCAGGTACCCCGCGATGTCGCTGCCCCACAGGAAGAGCGCCGATGCCGCCGCCGTCTGCCCCGCCACCACCACCGATGGCAGCCCGTCCGTGGGGGAGAAGGACGCCTTGTTGTCGCCTGCCCACACGAACGAGCTGAGGGGGGGCAGAGGGGGGAGGGGGGGTTGGGGGATGAACAAGGCGGAGGATGTTGTGCAGGTGAAGAAGGCAGTTGAGAATGGGCGGGGAAGGGCAAGCCGGCAGGCCATGGAAGGTGGCGGGGGACGGGGCACTATTCAGCGGCCAGAGGCTGCCAGGCCATGATGGTGAGTGGCGGTTACGAGAGCAGCTGGTGGAAAGGGACACCGCTGGCCAGTGCCCACAACCCAAACCAAATGGTAGTGTCAAGACCCCCTGATAGCATGTTGAAACCACCTGGCAGTGTTGAAACTATCTGGCAGTGTTGAAACTACCTGGCAGTGTTGAGACTACCTGGCAGTGTTGAGACTACCTGGCAGTGCTGCAATCACCTGGCAGTGCCTGTAAAGGCAGCGCGGGCCACGACGACACCCTGGGAGGCCCCCACACTGTCGTTGATGAAGCGCTGCATGCACGCATGGTACAGCTGCACGTACTGCAGTGCCGTGTAGCGGGCACATGGAGAGGGCACACGAGAGGGTGTTATGTTTAGCAATTTGCCGCGTGGGGAGCACAGGGGGGTGGCTTGGGAAGAAGGGGGGGGGGGGGAAGTGACGAGGTGAGGAAGCGATGGTCGGAGGGACAAGTGAATGAAAGGGAAAGAATAGAGAAGAGTGCCAGGTGCATGAGAAGGAGCCGGAAAGCGGCCAGCACTCACCTTGTTCCGCATGACCTCCAGCGGCGACCCATCATGGAACACAGCGCCCGCCTCAAAGTACGCGCCCTCGCCGTCGTCCGCCTTCACCCCGCCGAACACCTCCTCCCACTGCAGCATCTGGCCCATCTGTGCGCGCCACCACCGCTCCGCCTCGCCATTGCTCAAGTCCACGCGCGCCCCGCGCCCCTTCCACCACTGCACCACCTGCGGCTGCGCGCTGCCGTTGCGCACGAGGAAGCCCTTCTGAGCCGCCTCGTGGAAGTTGGGGGCGGCGCCCGGCTTGATGCCCGGCATGTCGACGCGGTTGGCAGCGTTCACGAAGGGCGTCACCCAGAACACCACGCGGAAGCTGGGGGGCGGGCGGAGGACGAGGAACAGCAGGCAAGGACGCAGCGGGTATAGGGCATGGCGCACGGGGCAGGAGGCAAGGGGCAGGAGGCAAGGGGCCAGGGTCAGGGGGCGGGGAGTTAGGGGTAGGGAGTTAGGGGCATGGAGTTAGGGGCAGAGAGTTAGGGGCAGAGAGTTAGGGGCAGAGAGCAAGGGGAGAGGGTAGGGCAGGGGGCAGGGGGTATGGCGCAGGGGGCTAGGGGCATGGTGCAGGAAGCATGGGGTAGGGGGCAAGGGACAGGAAAGAGCATGGGTGGGCGGAAAGAGGAAGGGTGCGGTGAGTAATAAAGGGATGACGCACAAGTGCGCATCCCTGGATAGATGCTGGGATCGCAGTCATCGGCACACAGCACCACACAGCGCACCCGAGGGCGTGCAGGCGCATGAAAAGCGCCTGGGGGTTGTGGAACTGGCGGCGGTTGATGGTGAAGTCATTGTACGCCGTTTCCCACGGGCTGTCCAACAGAATCACCGACCCCGGGATGCCGTGCTGCCGCAGCCGCTCAGCGTCGTCCAACACCTGGTGCCACGCATTGCCCATCAGCACGCATGCATGCATGCACACACAAGCGTCACGTGCACGAATTGCATCCCCCATGCATGCACACACAACAGTGGGAACGGGGGGGCAGGGCGAGAGGGTGGAGGGGGAGGAGTGATTTCACGAGCGGTGCACGATGAAGAGCGAGGTGCAACCTGCGGTCGCCAGCTTCAGGTACAAGCATACGAAGAGGTGACCCGCCCCGCAATTGCCTTGCAACAAAGCCCCTCCCCTGCCTTGCCCGTCGCTCACCTCCAGGCTGCTCTTGTGCACGTCGCTCACCTCCTGGCTGCTCTTGTGCACGTCGCTCACCTCCTGGATGCTCTTGTGCACGTCGCTCACCTCCTGGCTGCTCTTGTGCACGTCGCTCACCTCCTGGCTGCTCTTGTGCATGTCGCTCACCTCCTGGCTGCTCTTGTGCACGTCGCTCACCTCCTGGCTGCTCTTGTGCACGTCGCGCCCCTTCCAGGGCGCGAAGGTCCAGAGGGGCGGCGGGATGGGGCGCGAGGAGGAGAGGCGCGAGAAGAGCGCGAGCACGTCCAGCAGGCGAGGGCCGGCCATGAAGACCAGGCGCAGGGACGCAAGCAGGGGGTAGCGCAGCACCTAGGGGGGAGGGGAGATGGGAAAGAGCGAAACGAAGAGGCAAAGAAGATACGTGGAAATGTAGGGGAGAGGGGAGCGGAAGTGAGGAGGGTGAGGAAGACAAGCAGGCACGATGGTGGGAGGAAAGCGAGTGCAACGCTTCGTTTGGGCTGAAGTTGTTAGAGTGGTTGTGCAGGCTAATGGGGAGAGGAGTGGTTGTGCATGCGAATGGGGAGAGGAGTGGTTGTGCAGGCGCATGGGGAGAGGAGGTTGTGCAGGCGAATGGGGAGAGGAGTGGTTGTGCAGGCGAATGGGGAGAGGAGTGAGACCATCACCACGAACAGCATTTAGAGCTGATGCGGCTGAAGCTTGTGATTTGCACTGTGGAGCATGCAGCGCAGCCGAGGGTGAATGCATATGCAGGCATGCAGCGCGCACCATGTGGTCGGGATCCGAGGCGTGGTTGAGGTGGAAGGAGCCCTGCGCGTACGAGTCCACCCACACGCCCCACCCCCCTGTGCTCATCACGAACGGCACCGGCTTGTACGTGCGCTCCGCCTAGGAGGGGAGGGTGAGGGGAGGGGCGATAGATAGAAGGGAGGAGGGACAGGGCTGTTAGAGGAGAGAGAGCTGACCACCCACATCTCCAACGGCAGACGTGTGCTTAAGAGTGGGAGGGATGGATGCAGCAATAAAGAAGCGACAAGCGGGGGAGAGAAGCACTCAGTGCATGGCGCAAAGTGGGAACCGGGGACCAACACTGGCTGGCGCACCTGGTTGCCTGAGGTCGCAAGGGGAAGGGCGCACCTGGTTGCCTGATGGCGCAAGGGGAAGGCCACACCTGGTTACCTGAGGGCGCAAGGGGAAGGGCGCACCTGGTTGCCTGAGGGCTCAAGAGGAAGGGCGCACCTGGATGCCTGAGGGCTCAAGGGGAAGGGCGCACCTGAATGCCAGAGGGCTCAAGGGGAAGGGCGCACCTGGTTGCCTGAGGGCGCAAGGGGAAGGACGCACCAGGTGGCCCGAGGGCTCAAGGGGAAGGGCGCACCTGGTTGCCTGATGTCGCAAGGGGAAGGGCACACCTGGTTGCCTGAGGGCACAAGGGGAAGGGCGCACCTGGTTGCCTGAGGGCGCAAGGGGAAGGGCGCACCTAGTTGCCTGAGAGCACAAGGGGAAGGGCGCACCTGGTTGCCTGAGGGCTCAAGAGGAAGGGCGCACCTGGATGCCTGAGGGCTCAAGGGGAAGGGCGAACCTGGATGCCAGAGGGCTCAAGGGGAAGGGCGCACCTGGTTGCCTGAGGGCGCAAGGGGAAGGGCGCACCTGGTTGCCCGAGGGCTCAAGGGGAAGGGCGCACCTGGTTGCCTGACGGCGCAAGGGGAAGGGCGCACCTAGTTGCCTGAGGGCGCAAGGGGAAGGGCGCACCTGGTTGCCTGAGAGCTCAAGCGGAAGGGCGCACCTGGTTGCCTGAAGGCGCAAGAGGAAGGGCGCACCTGGATGCCTGAGGGCGCAAGGGGAAGGGCGCACCTGGTTGCCTGAGGGCTCAAGGGGGAGGGTGCTCCTGGTTGCCCGAGGGCTCAAGGGGAAGGGCGCACCTGGTTGCCTGAGGGCGCAAGGGGAAGGGCGCACCTGGTTGCCTGAGGGCTCAAGGGGAAGGGCGCACCTGGTTGCCTGACGGCGCAAGGGGAAGGGCGCACCTAGTTGCCTGAGGGCGCAAGGGGAAGGGCGCACCTGGTTGCCTGAGAGCTCAAGCGGAAGGGCGCACCTGGTTGCCTGAAGGCGCAAGAGGAAGGGCGCACCTGGATGCCTGAGGGCGCAAGGGGAAGGGCGCACCTGGTTGCCTGAGGGCTCAAGGGGGAGGGTGCTCCTGGTTGCCTGAGGGCGCAAGGGGAAGGGTGCACCTGGTTGCCTGAGGGCGCAAGGGGAAGGGCGCACCTGGTTGCCTGAAGGCGCAAGGGGAAGGGCGCACCTGGATGCCCGAAGGCTCAAGGGGAAGGGCGTACCCGGTTGCCTGAGGGCGCAAGGGGGAGGGCGCACCTGGTGGCCCAATGCTCAAGGGAAAGGGCGCACCTGGTTGCCTGAGGGCGCAAGGGAAAGGGCGCACCTGGTTGCCTGAGGGCTCAAGGGGAAGGGCGCACCTGGTTGCCTGAGGGCGCAAGGGGAAGGACGCACCTGGTGGCCCGAGGGCTCAAGGGGAAGGGCTCACCTGGTTGCCTGATGTCGCAAGGGGAAGGGCACACCTGGTTGCCTGATGGCACAAGGGGAAGGGCGCACCTGGTTGCCTGAGGGCGCAAGGGGAAGGGCGCACCTAGTTGCCTGAGAGCACAAGGGGAAGGGCGCACCTGGTTGCCTGAGGGCTCAAGAGGAAGGGCGCACCTGGTTGCCTGAGGGCGCAAGGGGAAGGGCGCACCTGGTTGCCTGAGGGCTCAAGGGGAAGGGCGCACCTGGTTGCCTGACGGCGCAAGGGGAAGGGCGCACCTAGTTGCCTGAGGGCGCAAGGAGAAGGGCGCACCTGGTTGCCTGAGAGCTCAAGCGGAAGGGCGCACCTGGTTGCCTGAAGGCGCAAGAGGAAGGGCGCACCTGGATGCCTGAGGGCGCAAGGGGAAGGGCGCACCTGGTTGCCTGAGGGCTCAAGGGGGAGGGTGCTCCTGGTTGCCTGAGGGCGCAAGGGGAAGGGTGCACCTGGTTGCCTGAGGGCGCAAGGGGAAGGGCGCACCTGGTTGCCTGAGGGCGCAAGGGGAAGGGCGCACCTGGATGCCCGAAGGCTCAAGGGGAAGGGCGTACCCGGTTGCCTGAGGGCGCAAGGGGGAGGGCGCACCTGGTGGCCCAATGCTCAAGGGAAAGGGCGCACCTGGTTGCCTGAGGGCGCAAGGGAAAGGGCGCACCTGGTTGCCTGAGGGCTCAAGGGGAAGGGCGCACCTGGTTGCCTGAGGGCGCAAGGGGAAGGGCGCACCTAGTTGCCTGAGGGCGCAAGGGGAAGGGCGCACCTGGTTGCCTCAGGGCTAAAGCGTACGGGCGCACCTGGTTGCCTGAGGGCGCAAGGGGAAGGGCGCACCTGGATGCCCAAGGGCTCAAGGGGAAGGGCGCAACTGGTTGCCAGAGGGCGCATGGGGAAGGGCGCACCTGGACGCCTGAGGGCTCAAGGGGAAGGGCGCACCTGGTTGCCTGAGGGCTCAAGCGGAAGGGCGCACCTGGTGGCCCGAGGGCTCAAGGGGAAGGGCGACCTGGTTGCCTGAGGGCGCAAAGGTAAGGGCGCACCTGGTTGCCTGAGGGCTCAAGAGGAAGGGCGCACCTGGTTGCCTGAGGGCGCAAGGGGAAGGGCGCACCTGGTTGCCTGAGGGCGCAAGGGGAAGGGCGCACCTGGTTGCCTCAGGGCTCAAGCGGAAGGGCGCACCTGGTTGCCTGAGGGCTCAAGGGGAAGGGCGCACCTGGATGCCCAAGGGCTCAAGGGGAAAGGCGCTACTGGTTGGCTGAGGGCGCAAGGGGAAGGGCGCACCTGGATGCCAGAGGGCTCAAGGGGAAGGGCGCACCTGGTTGCCTGAGGGCTCAAGCGGAAGGGCGCACCTGGTGGCCCGAGGGCTCAAGGGGAAAAGCGACCTGGTTGCCTGAGGGCGCAAGGGTAAGGGCGCACCTGGTTGCCTGAGGGCTCAAGAGGAAGGGCACACCTGGTTGCCTGAGGGCGCAAGGGGAAGGGCGCACCTGGTTGCCTGAGGGCGCAAGGGGAAGGGCGCACCTGGTCGCCTGAGGGCTCAAGCGGAAGGGCGCACCTGGTTGCCTGATGGCCCAAGGGGAAGGGCGCACCTGGTTGCCTGAGGGCGCAAGGGGAAGGGCGCACCTGGTTGCCTGAGGGCGCAAGGGGAAGGGCGCACCTGGTTGCCTGATGGCGCAAGGGTAAGGGCGCACCTGGTTGCCTGAGGGCTCAAGAGGAAGGGCGCACCTGGTTGCCTGAGGGCGCAAGGGGAAGGGCGCACCTGAATGCCCGAGGGCTCAAGGGGAAGGGCGTACCCGGTTGCCTGAGGGCATAAGGGGAAGGGCGCACCTGGTGGCCCAAGGGCGCAAGGGGAAGGGCGCACCTGGTTGCCTGAGGGCGCAAGGGGAAGGGCGCACCTGGTTGCCTGAGGGCTCAAGAGGAAGGGCGCACCTGGTTGCCTGAGGGCGCAAGGGGAAGGGCGCACCTGGATTCCCGAGGGCTCAAAGGGAAGGGCGCACCTGGTTGCCTGAGGGCGCAAGGGGAAGGGCGCACCTAGTTGCCTGAGGGCGCAAGGGAAAGGGCGCACCTGGTTGCCTGAGGGCGCAAGAGGAAGGGCGCACCTGGATGCCTGAGGGCGCAAGGGGAAGGGCGCACCTCGTTGCCTGAGGGCTCAAGGGGAAGGGCGCACCTGGTTGCCTGAGGGCGCAAGGGGAAGGGCGCATCTGGATGCCCGAGGGCTCAAGGGGAAGGGCGCACCTGGTTGCCTGAGGGCGCAAGGGGAAGGGTGCTCCTGGATGCCTGAGGGCGCAAGGGGAAGGGTGCTCCTGGATGCCTGAGGGCGCAAGGGGAAGGGTGCACCTGGTTGCCTGAGGGCGCAAGGGGAAGGGCGCATCTGGATGCCCGAGGGCTCAAGGGGAAGGGCGCACCTGGTTGCCTGAGGGCGCAAGGGGAAGGGTGCTCCTGGATGCCTGAGGGCGCAAGGGGAAGGGTGCTCCTGGATGCCTGAGGGCGCAAGGGGAAGGGTGCACCTGGTTGCCTGAGGGCGCAAGGGGAAGGGCGCACCTGGATGCCCGAGGGCTCAAGGGGAAGGGCGTACCCGGTTGCCTGAGGGCGCAAGGGGGAGGGCGCACCTGGTGGCCCGAGGGCTCAAGGGAAAGGGCGCACCTGGTTGCCTGAGGGCGCAAGGGAAAGGGCGCACCTGGTTGCCTGAGGGCTCAAGGGGAAGGGCGCACCTGGTTGCCTGAGGGCGCAAGGGGAAGGGCGCACCTAGTTGCCTGAGGGCGCAAGGGGAAGGGCGCACCTGGTTGCCTGAGGGCTCAAGCGGAAGGGCGCACCTGGTTGCCTGAGGGCGCAAGGGGAAGGGCGCACCTGGATGCCTGAGGGCGCAAGGGGAAGGGCACACCTGGATGCCTGAGGGCGCAAGGGGAAGGGCGCACCTAGTTGCCTGAGGGATCAAGGGGAAGGGTGCTCCTGGTTGCCTGAGGGCGCAAGGGGAAGGGCGCACCTGGTTGCCTGAGGGCGCAAGGGGAAGGGCGCACCTGGATGCCCGAGGGCTTAAGGGGAAGGGCGTACCCGGTTGCCTGAGGGCGCAAGGGTAAGGGCGCACCTGGTGGCTGAGGGCTCAAGGGGAAGGGCGCACCTGGTTGCCTGAGGGCGCAAGGGGAAGGGCGCACCTGGTTGCCTGAGGGCTAAAGGGGAAGGGCGCACCTGGTTGCCTGAGGGCTCAAGAGGAAGGGCGCACCTAGTTGCCTGAGGGTGCAAGGGGACGGGCGCACCTGGTTACCTGAGGGCTCAAGCGGAAAGGCGTACCTGGTTGCCTGAGGGCGCAAGAGGAAGGGCGCACCTGGATGCCTGAGGGCGCAAGGGGAAGGGCGCACCTGGTTGC